ATAAATATATATATATAGAGTACATAATATACTACACATATCATCACATCCGGTTGACATGTCATCGCATACACACGAGTAGCTAGAGTCAAATAAATCATGGCGGCATTCTAGTAAATAATCATGATTCATACCCGCGAGCCTGCGAAACTTCGTAGTAGTCCACCAGCAAGAAAGAATGGTCAGTACTAGTACATGCTGGATCCATACACAACCTTTCATTGATGTCGCTTATGCCATTCATTATTTCAGCGTGCGTCAGATTGCGATTGTTGCATATCTCGACCACTGCGCACAAAGGAATTTCGCACTCGTCGCCACCAGTAACAACATGTGTAACGGCAATCGTCTCAGTTATGATTTCGGTTTCGTAATCCGTTGGAATGTCGCTGGGATCGTCATGGTGGATACTTGTTGCCACTATTAGGAGCAGTACGTATTATACGCTATGAGTCTGTGAATCAAGTAACCTTCTACAACCAGTTCAGTTTCGTCAATTTCCATAGTTATACAGAAATTAAGTACATTCTGATATAGAGACAGTATTCGGCCAGTATTTGACAGAACAGCAAGAAACGAAAATCACATTCACAGATTCGATTTAAAAGGATCAATTGTATATTTGCAGCTCATGTATATGTGCTGGTTCGAAAAGGAATATACATCTAGTAAAATAGTGAACTTGCTTTGAAGCGATTATCGAGAAATTATTTCAAATGGGTCCAGAATTGACATGATGTGTAAGGATTAGTCTGAATCATCGGTCCAACAAATGCAAACGAAATAGCCGGTAATTAAATTGAACTAACCTGAAGCATACGTATTCGTGTTTTGGCCAGCAGCCAGAATTCCCTTCGCTTCTGAATTTACCACCGGTTTGCCTACTTTCACTAGGTCTGCTTGTTCTGTATATATGCTAATCAGTGCTAACACCAGCGCAATGGACACAAAAGCCCTCCACGCTCGCGTCATCATTGCTTTGCCAATCTCTCAATCAACACCGCATGCTAGGCAATAAGAAAAAAAAGTGTATACTAAAGCTAAGTACAACCTCCTTTTATAGCCTCATCGAACCAAGCAAATACAACCAGAACACTTCTTGACTCTTGTGGATTGAAGCAATTTGACGTGTAAATTGTTTTTATTTCAAATATCACATAAATATTATACATACTTTTTGTGCTAAATGAATACACAATACATAGTCATTTAAAAAAAAAATAGCGTATATCAATAAATAACACAGAACTTGACAGGAGTGGATATATGCCTTTGGTTGAATTAGTAGTGAGGCAGTCTGGAGAGTTATATTTAGCAAAGCTGCAAAGGGCTTTTGTTTATTTTTGAAAAGTCAATAGAAAATGTATTTGTTGACTTGCATTTGTATAACTGCTACTGCGTACAGCCATAGCAACACAAGAATCCAGTTGCCACTCACCGCTCAGGATACTTCTAAATATTTGCAACGGCCGACTCCCCGGCCCAATGCAGTGAGCCAGACGACTCCGACAGCCCGACTGACGACTCCGACAGCCCGACTGACGAATCCGACAGCCCGACTGACTACAACTGACAGCCCTTATAATAATTGTTTTTTTATATATAAAAACAGAAAAAATAAAACCAAAAATAGGTTGACAAAAATCGGTGTATTTTCAGATTTTATTTCAACTTTTTTTTTAAAGTTTCTGATTCGGTCAGCCGATTGAGCGAGTATATCATTGATCGTCGGTCATTGCCCATCATGATGGGTGCAAATTCGAAATGCAAATTTCGGAATTCATGCACAAACTACAAAGTTGTCCTGATGTCCTCTCTTTGAAAACAGCCAAAATCAAATTCAAAACCTGAAAACCATGACCATCTCTGAAAAAAGCCTTGGCCTTACTTCTTGACGGCTTGACGGCTTGACCCCTGTTTGAGAGTTGTCAGTTGTCAGTTGTGAGTTTGCGACCTTGTTCATGTTGCGTTCAATGATGTCCCTTCTTGTTGACCGTATTGAGAGTTTCTGACCCGTCAATACTCAATAATGTATAATTTTGTTTCTTCGTTTTTTTTAAATAACAAATGGTATTTATGAGCCCGGGCTTCCTGAAAAAGTAAAACTGTAAAGTCAACCATGTTTACCTCCGATTTAAAACAATGTTGGTGTTGTAAGTACCGAACTGTTTGGTAGTTCCTGTGCGTTAATAAGAGTGCGAGAACTTCTAAGTGTGGGCGATAACTGATAAGTGTGAAAACTAATAAGTTTGAAAAGTTCCAAGTTGTATTGTGCGGTTTGTTGGCGAACGGCCGCGCAGGCTCGAACGAAGAGGAGGTTGGTGTATGATTGGTGCTTTGCGAACCGAAGTGCGGGGTAATATGAGCTGGAGGTTGGCAGATGACGATATATGTTGAATGGACTTGTAGGCTCGAAATTGAGAAGATACACGATTCTCAAGGAAATCCTTCGGAGATAGTATAAATACGTGGTTTAGTTCATTCAAGAAGTTAATTCTGCTAAGGTAGACGTTTAAACAACAATCGAGGAAATAAATCTAAGTTCACCGTTATGTTGTGTTTTGAGTCGATCCCGTTAATACTCGATATTGTATAGTTTTGTTTTTTCGTTTTTAAACGAATTAACAAATGGTATTTATGAGCCCGGGCTTCCTGAATAAGTAAAAGCTGATACTTCTGCACTCATATTCACTATTCATCTTGAGCATCCCCCTGTGTGAGGCCTGAGGCCTGAGGCTGAGGGAGGCATGAGCAGGAGCCATTGAGCCATGATGAGTCCATGACTGATGACTGTCCTATTTTATTTTTTGTCTATATTTTATTTTATTGGTATGAACTATAATGGAGTGTAAATCTTAGCTCAATGCGTTAACCGTTAAAACTTTATTACATGATGATATAAGCGCTAAAGTTCAATTTTTATTACATGCATGGTCCTATGGATTTCAGATGGGGTGTAATTTCTAGGTCCGCAGATTTGTCCCCAGTTGAGGCTGTTGAGCGCGCCATGACAAAACAAGCCGTCGGTTGGGAATTGGGATAAACGTCATCAAAATCATTGCGAGCTTATGATTGGTCGACACTCTCAATATTGCCCATTTCGTGGATTTTAGTGCACATTGGAAGTGCAGTTTTTGAAATTTTGTCGAGCATATTTGAGCTAAGGTGCCATAACCGTTTTTTAAAGTATATAGAACATGAAAATAGGCTTAGCATCCTATGTAATATACAATTTAGGAGGCTATGAAATAGGCGTTAAAGTTCAATTTATATTCAGCATACACATAACGTTAAATGAGCTTAGGTTTAAATCACTACTGACTCCTTCAGGCTGAGCCGCTGAGGTCCGAGGATGGCAGGCTGCCTCGTTACTATCCGCGAGTTTGATTTAGCATAGTATGGCATTTCTTACTCATTGTTTTAATTTTTATATATTTTTGATAAATATACTGTATGTCGGGTCAAATTTAGCTTTTATTTGAGTGAGACGAAACAGAAAAACAGTAAATAAACACACAGCTGAGCGGGCGGTCGTTAGGCGGTAATATGTATTATAAAATAAAAACTTTTTTTATAAATATTTAATAAAAGTAATAAAACAAAACAAAAACAAGCAACATAAATAGTTAAATACATGTGCTGTTTTGTTTTTATTTACTGTTTTTGCATAAATTGCCTCCAGATGTTCACGCATAGGCATAGCCTATGTACTATTTTAATAAATCATGGCCCTCTGGATTTGGGTCCCTGCTAATTTACGATTTCCGTGACGACCTCGAGTCTCGAGACCCAGGAGGCTATGCGGCTTGATCTTCTCTCAGGTCCAATTTTCAGAAGGCTATGCTCAACTCTAGAGAAAAAATATGAAAATATAGCTGAACGGTCTAGCCGCTAGCGTCTGTAGGACATAGTTTTCTTCTTCTTTTTTTCGCTCACACAGCAGGGCAAAAAATGTGCAGTGTCCTATGCCTTGTGCCGTGCGTTTTGTAGGTTGAGACCCTGTGGCCTGCTGTGGTCCTGTGCCCTTTGTAGACTGTGGTGAGTGTGTATGTACTATACGTATGTTGTACATATCGCAAAATATCTGTACTATTTTGATACTTCTACTCTATGGACAGAGTGAACCTATATATATA